CAATATGAATTAGCTGGAGATAGACGTCCATTGATCTAGAGCGTGTGCATTAAAACTCAGTCTAGAGCCTTGGATTTCGGCAAGTGAGTACAAACATTTTGCAGAACAAAAACATTAGTTTACCATATAAGGGAGTCGACGGGTAAACTTCTAACACATTACTTCCCAGTAGCACCCACCTAAAATCAAAATATGCGATCGTCAGTGAGCTATGAAGTCTCTGTATTCAAAGCATGCTTTGTGCAGCTCGGGTACGAGAGTATCTACCAAAAATGAACTTCCCAATTTCACGCTTTCATTGCTATACGGTGAAGAGGGCTGCCTCTATCGGTCAGCCTACAAGCACATATTCAATGCACAAGCCTGACTTGAAATCAAAATATTGACCGTGTACTGCATTCAATAGACGACTTTTTAAGCAACTATCCAATAATTTTTGAAAACTTGATGTGGTGCTGAGCGTTTTCCTGATCTTCCACGATTCATTTTGAGTCAGTTGGGTCGAGCATCGTTATTTGCATCTGATAAGTTTCCCTGAATTGCAAATCAAAGATGCTAACCCTAAATGTTTGTTTTAACGAGCAAAAGTATGACGCGTAATCGAAAACTGTTTACGACCAGTTGAAAGTTAGTGCACTTGTACTATGGCTATTTCTTTTCACGCAGAAATATAATCGTTGACTCTAAGCTGAGATGACAAGACACGCGCTTGTTTCTTTTCAGCCACCTATGCTCCTTCCGGTGGGTTGGCCTGCAGGCATCTAATCCTGTAAGCTTTAAGCAACGCTTTTAATCATCCAGTCACTCAGAGAGCGGCTTGAGCTCCTCCTCTGATTGGTTACATAAAAGCTGGTATCTATATTTCTTCCACTAAGGGTAACAAAGTGGTATTTCCACGTGGTATGTCAGATATGGAAGCGGGGTCTACCAGAATGCTTATAAGGGTTCGGATGCTCACGATAATTTCAGTCATCCGGCCAGTGGAGTCAGCTATCTGTCTCCACTATACACTCATCACACTACGCCTGCGTTACACATGATAATTCTCGACCCTAGTTTTACCATTTGCGTCAGTGCTCTCCAGGATCCTGCTAACTCGGGTGGTGTCGCAGTCACACAAGTCACAGGAAGGTCGCTGTGTTGATTCTTAGTGTGATCGGTTGGCGACCAGGCGTTCCGCGACTGCCTTGCTGAAGGATTAACACCGAGGTCGAAAATGTGGCCAATTTGGTTGCATTTAATGTCCCCTGCGCTACCAGCTGATGCTGGCATCCCCTTGTCTGAAATCGTTGACTCGCACTACTGAAGTAGTTGCATCTTCCTGTGATCCTCCCCAGCGGGACAATGGAAAAGGAACGCTCCCAGTCCCCGTAAAATAGAGGATATTTCGCTGAATTCTAAGATTGTTACATATTTCTGCATTGCAAACTTAACAGGAAACCGAACCTATACCTTGCTCGTAACCCCAACCCTAGCTTTAACTTTAAGCTCAACCCTAGCCCTAATTTCCTCAGAATTTATCGCAAAGTCAACTGTGTTATGGGACTCCTAAGCCCATGTCATAAAAAATCCTTACCGATTTTCAACCGGTAGAAGATGAGTGACTTGTCCTCATTAATAATGAGGCCCTTTTTGCGAAGTCTGAGCTGAAGCTTATGAACAACTCCAAATCCGATTGATTGCACTAATGCAACTACGGCGTCCGAGACCATTTTCGGGCTGTTAACTTCTTCAACTCCAGGCCTTCGGAAGCACTAACTTCCGCCATCGTAACTGCTTGCTGTGTGCAGTTTTGCTCGCTCCTGTTAGTATCCTGAAGATAGATTCTATGATCTTCCCCGGCAGAACACGGGAAAAGGAACGCCCCCACATCCCGTAAAATAGGTGAAATTGCGCTAACTTGCAGGAAAGCTACCTACTTCTGTGTCCTATGCCTAACAGTAACAAGAACCTAAACCTTACTTGTAATCTTAACCCTAACCTTAATTCTAAGCTTAGCCCTGGTCCCAATTTCCTCGGAATTTAGTGCAAAGTCAACTGTATTATGTGGTTCCTACGCCCATTTCATAAGAAATCCTTACTGATATTTCAGTCGGTAGAGGATAAGGAAGTTTACTTCATTAGTAATGAGATCCTTCTTGTGAAGTATGGCGCAAAGCTTGTGAGCGACTCCAAATCCCATCGATTGGAGGAATGCGACTAGGGTGGCTGAGACATTTTTCGGGCCGTTATCATCTTCATCTCCAGGCCTTCGGAAGCATTGACTTCCGCCATCGTAGATGGTTGCTCTGTACAGTTTTGCTTGCACCTGTTATTATCTGCTGTACTGCAGTAAGATTCTAGTTGTCAGTAAAGTGAACGCACGCAACACCTCCTGTGTTGCAGAGGATGATGATTGTGAAAGCTTCATAATCTCCCATTTGCGTCCTATTCGGCGGATCCGTCTGTCCGCAATAAACCATTAGTCCCCGGAGTCCGGAGTTTGTACTTTGCCCCTCCTCCAGTTAACTTATTTCCCGCATCAAAAGAAACTTTAAATAGTACATACTTATAAGGCCTCATCTGCTGAGTGTGATTTCGGTGATGGACACAGCTTCTCCTTCTCACTCTATACACATATCTGGAATGCGAACCTTCGCCTCAATTCGTGGTTTTTTTCTTTCTGAATATTTCCGCGGCATACGCACTTCTTTGTACTACCCACAGACACCTTAATTTCCGGGAGTTTTTACGACACTCGAACTTCTAAGACACTTAATGCCCAGTTTAAAATGGTCTACAGATTGGCATTCAATATCTTCATTGGGAACTACAGCGTTGTAGCCTTGTAACAGCAGATTTATGGAGGACGAGAATATGCAAGTAAGAGGGACTAGCGACGCCATTAACCTGCCAAAAAGTGAGTCCATCACTCTGCATCTTCTGTTTGCATACAACTCCAATGGATAAAAGAAGAGGTGCTGAGTTAGTGTTTCAACAATTTCTATCGATGTGGAGCTGGAGACTACTAGAGTTTATCATCGTCGTGCTTGGCTGGCGAGTCAGTTCGACCTCGAGCGCTAAACAGGCCCACGGGTAGACGGAAGTGGGGTGGTACGAGCCACAGATAGTAATTAAAAACCCAGACGATTTTCTGTACTTGTATGACCCAAGCGTGAGGGGTTCAACTCACTGGCGAGTCCCCGGAGTGCTCCTCGTGTCCTGAACGCTTTTAGTTCAAATACCTTTCTCAAATTCCTTTCCGAGCCTGAAAATATCTGACCCCAGGGCTTTTTTCCACATGAGGAAATCCAAAAGTTGGCAATAAGGAACTGACGGCAAAGGATGTCTCAGCATGGTTATTAACCGATGCTTTTCTGTTAGATAACCAGAACTCAGTCCAGTGCGTTTTCTCATTGCGACCCTCTCCCAGTCCTCAGTCCTTAGAAAGCCTGCCCAATGAAGTAGCCTCTTTCCGGTGCCTTGGTGTTACTCTGACGTCTAAGCATTCATTTTCTCTTCATATTGAAGTGCTCTTCCCGAAAATTTGTAAACGTCTATATTATGTCAGTCGGTTACATTAAGATCACACACTTCAAGCCCTAATCTGGCGATTTATAGATGCCGGCATTCTCCCCCTTATTCTCTTCTGCTCGCGGGTTATTTTTCCAGCCTTGCTTAAAATTTTTATTTTTTATTTTTGAATTTATCTTCCGAAGGGTCTCCTCAGCTGCCAGTTTTTTTATGCTTCTTTGGTGATTTTATAATATAGGGACACGTTACATCGGTTAAGCAATTCGCTGGTCGCATTCTTGATTAGATTACCCATTCACTCCACACTGCATTAATGACTGCGAAGTCTTTCCGCACTATGCGGCGAAGCTTCCGACATATGTCCTGCCTTACATAGGCATATCAGCATTCTGTACTCCAATACCCAGCACGATATCTCACATGTGAATAAACAGAGATCCAGAAGCTGAGATTAGACCTGTCTCCATAATCGATGTGAATTTTAGGTAAACCTCCAAATGTTCGAGTATTTTTTTAAATTTATTCCATGGACTCGAGGAATGGAGCCACAGTTTGCTGACATTTTTTCATGTCCCCTTCAAAATAAAACGTATCCATCTCTTTATCTCTCATTGCGTGCTTGGCTCGATCCGAGGTTCCTCGACCGGGTGGTCCTTACACAATGTGCGACCTTTAGCCAGCGCAGCGGCAAGAGGGATGGACGATCGATTAGGCCCGCGGAACTGCGCCTACGACCTGCGGCCTTCGTCATACGCCCGTCTTCATTGGGGAGAGTTTCAATTTTTTGATCTACCCAACCAATGCTTATTTGCATAATGAGTAGCCTATAATGCGAACTAGTCCTCATGATTCGTAAATAAGAAAATTATGAATGCATGGCAAGGCAAGTACATACAGTCATTTCCGGATCAAGAAAGTTAAGCACTGTCCCTCATCCACCTTCCCTTCAGAAGGATTTGATTGGTCCATTCTGGAATTAGATCCCCAGCCTCATTATCATGTTTTAGCGCCTTAACCCCCACCTCTTGTCCGCTTAATTTCTTCTTTCTAACTTCCTTTTTGGAACAGGCTTGGTCACTGAAGTTCAAACTTGTGGTCTAGCGTCCAAAGGACCCCGACACGAATACCCTCATCATAGTCCGAAAGAAGAGCATTAAAAGATGCAACTTGGTTTTCGAGTATAGTTTGTATATATGCATCAATAGTTTCACTGTACAGCAGAGCGGGGGTTAGAGACAGGATTAAAAGGAGAAAAAGTAACAGTCAAGTTGAATTTAAAAAGAACAAAACCAGAAAAATGAAATTGTCGGGGGTATTTTTTTCACTGTGTGCTTATCCGGGTTGTGTTGCATTGCCAAACAGAGCACTTTGTCCCTGGTGGGAGGGAGAGGGGCTGGGTGGGAGCGGGACTTTGATGCTGGTCAGGGACGGTCCTCTGTACTCAGGGGAGGGGGTGGGCGAGCGCGGCAAAGTGGGCGAGGTCAAAACTAGTACATGAGGGAGGCGGTCTCGTCAGTCTGTTGTCCGGCCTTTGCAGCAGCAGATATGTAAGCCACTGCAGCCGCCATCTGGGAGGCTGTTGTGTGCCGCGAGCTCATGCTATCAGTTCTGTCTCTTCCAGCGAACTGCTGATGCAACCCCTGGAAGGCCTGGGGTGCCGCTGACTGGTATCTACAGTCAAAGGAAGGACCGAAACCGGATCGGCTCGACACCATTTGGTTGGCAGCACAGAACTTGTCTTCCTCCTGTCCCTCAGCCTCCATATAACCCTCCTGCTGATGCTGCTGTTGCTGGAAGCTGAGCGACCGCTGTGAGTAGGGAGACCGAATTCGTCCCATCGTCGGCGTGGATCCCAACAACCGATGGTACTGCAGCGCTGGCTCGCTGGGATCCATTTTAATATCCGACTGATGCGGCTGCGGTAGCTGTTGCTGCTGTTGCTGTTGTTGCCGTTGGGAAGTGGAGGCAGTGGGATAGTCAGCGCCGGCTTTTGCGCTGAAGAAAGCAGCCGGAAAGCGACCAGCGGAGAGGGCCTTGGGGACGGGGAATTGAAAGTTTGTGAAGTCATAAGCGCTTGGCGTGGA